AATACAGTAACATGTATTTGCAGCTGTAGTCTTCTTATTCTGTTGTGTATAGAGTATGAAGGGGAGAATGCGAAAGTGCATGTTGTTTTGTTGTAAGACTCTCCTGCTGGTGAGGTCGGAGGTCACTGTCACCCTGCCTTCTGTTCCTACTCAGCTGACAAATCTGGGTCATTTTTGCAAGGTGACTTACCTGACTTTTTTTTTTTTAGTCAGAGAACTTCTATCTAAACAGATTGCTAGTGTGATGCCATACGTTGTATTCGGCTCTAAACATCCATTACGTTATTGGTGGGTGTAGTGCAGCTTACTTCTATTTTGTCAAGTGCTCTCATAAGTCATCAAGTGCTCAGATGTCAGCAGAGAATGCAAGTGACACAGTGTCGATTAACATAAACACAGGCTTTGTCCTACTGCCATCTTAATTTGTCACTTTGATTGCATTAGGGCTCATTTCTTGCTGTGAAAAATACATTTTTTCACTGTCATGCTCCTGTCTCTGAACATTCTGGTAAAAAAGCAGACCTTTGGGGTTGTCATTTCACAGCACTGTGATTACACTTTGTCTAGTGTTGCATGGAGATCGACATTGAAAGGCATGATATTTCTGGTCTAGATGAGTCAAACCCTCAGTAAATGCGTCATAAATCATGAAATATCTATTTGAACTTTTGCAATTCTTTTGTTGATAAATGTGAGTAAGTAATGAAAAAGCCATTCAGAGAGAGGATATGACCTCTGATTTTTTCTGTATTCACTTTCAAGTGAGGTAAACCTGCTTTGTGCTTCTGTGAAGCAGTGACACCATTTCTTCATGGATACAGTGCTATAAAATAAAAGAGTCTCCACTTAAAGATGCAGAAAGACATGCCATAGTGTTCTGAATCATAGCAGGTGCAATTTTATGGTGGAGATTTCTTCGTTTTGTAATTACTCTGCATTTTCTCTACATTCTCTACACAACACATTCTTAGCAATTAGCCTTTCACCCACATCAGAAAGTGAATTAACCAAATGCGAATATGAAAAACAGATAAGTTCTTTCAAACACTGGCTAGCTCCTTATTACCCACTCTTTTTTTTCAGAATAATCTCTTATTGAACGGTTGCTTTGTAGCTCGACCTGGAACAGAGGTTTTTGTTATCCACGTTTATCTCTAAAAACTAATTTCAGCTCCTGTGTAGCTTGCTGTGAAGTTCTTTCACTGTGTGTATAGAACGTCAATGCCAGGGAAGGTCCAATGTTCACATGTAACCCGGGTCAGTGTTTTTGTAATCACAACCCGATTGTTGTGTAAAAGCGAGAACTTTGTTGGCGGTCTAGCAATCTTTTATTTGAATCTTCACAGTGCAGCAGTCACAAAAAACCAGCCATAAGAGGGAAAAAACTAAATAACTACTCTTGAGGGAGATAACCAACTACACAAAATAAACAAACACAAAGTCCTTCTCTACACAGGGCGCTTAATAATGCAAGAGTGCTGGTAAACTCACAAATTAATTTATCTAGAGCAAGACCATCAAAGGGAATGACAGACAACTAGGATCCAATAAAGACTGAAGACACAGCACAGAATATAAAGGAAGAGTAATACGAGTAACAGCTGACAACACAGGTGAAAGAAATGATATTTCATGAGAGCAGAAAAAAAGGGTGTCATGACAGTTATTTAAAAAAGATGTCATGAACTGTTTTTCCTATTTTGAGTCAAGATATGCATTGCCAAAGTTCTGTCAATGGTTACCGCAAAGCAAGCATGGGCCAATCTTTTTGATGCCACACTGAGAAACATTACCGTTGGTTTAGTTTCAGAGGCGATCAAGGTGTGTTCTGTAGGCTGTGTCAGAAGCACTCAGGCCCTGGCTATGCGTACCTGGTTATTTTGAAAATGGGCACATTTTCATGTAACTGTTCATTTTTGAAAAATGAGGTGAAGGTGAATCGGTTTTTGAAGGCTCCACACTGTGTAGATAGTTAAAACAGGGTTATTTGAATTTGTGGGTCAGAGATTGTAATTTTTGGCATGCTCTTTCACTCATTTATTTACAAACAGTAAGCGTAATGGCGGCCTAATTGTGCTGTTTACATGCAGATGCTTCCTGTTTGATCAGCGAACAGAGGCGCCTGTGTTCTGATAACTTCAATGTTAAATACTTGTTTTTAAAACACACAGCATGAATTGACTGCCACCTGTTGGTTTGGTACAGCACTTCAGGGTTTTAGAGTGAAGTTTTTTTTGTTCATGGTGTGAGAAAAAAATGTGGTACAGATGAGCGGGCTAAAAACCAAGTGTTGTGTCAGAAAGTATCACTTTTCACACTATATATTTTTTCTGGTAATTTTACCTGGTTTCACGGGTTTGCCCACATCTGATATTAGCAAAATGCATTTTAATTGAACAAAAACATTGTCAAAAGAGCACTTGTTTGCTTTGAATAAGGTGTCAAAACAAATTATGTTTTCATTCAAGTATTATTTTCTATTGAAGACTTCAACATATAAATCAATATAAACTATGTTTTGGTTTCTTGGAAAAAAACAGTATGTAAATTTTGAAAACCATATGCACTTCCTGCAGGTTTTCCTGAAGGACGTATTTAAAGAAAGCAAAGCAGCAGCTCTTGACAGGTGTGCTGTTTTGCATTTTTAATGCTATGTGCATGTGTTTGCGGATGTCTGGATATCTGCATCTTCTCCCGGAGCCTGTTGTGAGTGTCTGTCTGTATTACATGAAACCGCCATGTCAGCGTGAAGAAGGCTACTGTGAGCCTCACAAAAGTTGAATAACACAAGCCGATCTGAAATGAAGCCAAAATATTAGTCGTGCCAGAGTTTCAAAATGCATCATTACAGAGTGCATAAACCCCAGCGAGGGCAGTGGCAGAAAAAACAACCCACATGGGCAATGCAGCAGCCGCTAGAGCCCAGAGCTTACTCTCTAGTGAGGGCAAGCTCTCCAAACACTTGCAAGGTGACAGAAGAAATGAGTCAGGCAGTATCATTGCATGCTAAAAGTGATTGCGTAAACGAAGATCGGGTTTCTGAGAGATGTACCATTGGAAAGGTGGGGGGGGGGGGGGATGTCACATCTAATTGATTAATCACCAATGCAGTTTGATAAAAATGCATGGGTGCATTATAGAGCTCCACTTTTTTGACACACTCTGACTATAGCACTTTTAGCTTAGCTTACATTCAATGATATAAACCGATTAGACAAATAGTGAGTATGTTTTATTGATATAGAACATTAATACAAAAAAGTCCAATACTAACAAGTAAACTTTTAAACAATCACATCACTCTCGAAAACTAGACAAAATAGGTAGGTTTTTCAGTTTTTGATGAGCCAGGGGCCCATCAAGCGGCTATGAGTTTTAGAACAGAGAAGGAGATCCAAAGCTGAGGAGCAGTGGCAGAGAAGACACTATCGCACTTAGTTTTCAACCTTGATTGAGGTACAGCCAGCAAGGTTTTTTCAGTTGATCTAAGAGTTCTTTATGATCTTAACGGAACTAAAAGATGGGTGAGGTAAGAAGGTGCTTGATCATTCAGTGATGTAAAAACAAACAATGACATTTTAAAACGTTTTCCAGGATGATCAGGAAGTTATGCAAGGACTGGAGTGATGTGTTCTATTCTTTTGGTGCTGGTCAGTAGCCTAGCTGCTGCATTCTGGACCAAATGTAGGTGTAAAATAGGTCCAAATAGAGCGTATTACAGGAATCTAAAGGTAATAAAGACATGCTTTGGTTGTTCGAGTTCAGAGCAAGATAGGAATGGCTTATATTTAAAATGTGACTCTTTTAGAATTATATTGTGTTGTTACACCAGCAGAAAGTATTGTAAGCTATTAATATGGAACCTTTTTAGATTAGATGATGCTAAGCTACGCTAAAAGCGCCATCGCCAGAACTTGTCTGAATACATTTAAAAATGAAAAAAAAAAACTGCTTCTTCAATTATTTACTTATTCATTCATTCATTCATTCATTTTCCATTCCCGCTTATTCCCTTTCGGGGTCACGGGGGTCTGCCGGTGCCTATCTCCGGCACACATTGGGCGAGAGGCGGGGGTACACCCTGGACAGTTCGCCAGTCCATCGCAGGGCATTATTTACTTATTTATTAAGAAAAACAACGTAAACTGCATTTTACCTTTACAGTATATCATTTGAATAAGTCTTTTTTGAATAGCACAGCTATGTAATATGTTGGTGGTATGAAAGTTTTTTTTTTCTTGGAGTAAGCACTTATAAATTCAGAGAAACTGACGTTGTTCCTATTAAATTTTTATCCAATGCTTTTCTGCCATCTAGTGCCCACAAAGTAAACATGCAGTTTTTAGTTTTCTTTATGAAAACCTCTTAGTTTTTAGTGATTTATTTGAAGTTTTTTTAGTGATTTGTGAAGTTAATCATATTCTATTTATAGCTCTGCCTGTAAACAGCAAAATTTTCTTAAAATATTTTGAGAACTGTGTGTGTTTTCTTATACTACATATATTTTAATTTGTTTTTTTTTTTTTCATTCAAGACTCAGGAAAACTGATGCCTTTTTAGACTCATAAAATATAACTCATGTACATCTATACATTTATAAATCTATTTCCATTTTTCAATATTCAAGATTTTTACAGCTCTCTGTGTTCTTTTTATAGATCATAGTGAGCCTGAACATATATTAATTTTAAACGTGTTATGCAATTGTAAAAGTATATATGCATATACTGAACTGTACTGCATTTAAAGGAACTTGCGTCATGAAAGCAACACATCATGGAGTGTTTCTAGGTTTCCAGCAGAGGGCGATGTTTTTCTACAGATTGCTTCTGAGGTATCCATTAGGCAATTGATTTTTTATGTCCACTTATGAATCATAATTAAAGGTCAATTTGTCTTGCTGGACATGCCACCACTTCATTACTGGGCCACAAACCCCTCTTTTTTCACATGTACCTGACCACCATTTTCCTGACCTGCATATGTTTGAATATTGAGAGGCATTGCTGAGGCTCTGTTGGTAGTGCATTGTGCTAGCAAAGCAAAGGTGGTGGATTCAAATCCCAGGGAAAGCAAGAACTGAAAATGTGTTCATTCAAATGTAAGTCGTTTTGGATAAAAGCGTCTGCTAAATGCATAAATGTAATGTAAATGAAACTGAGAGGAAACTGGGACCAAATCAATGCTAGTATATTAGGAAAAGTATATTTTAACCCTTAAACAAATATTTGTTTGTTTGTGCTTTGAACTAAAAATTGCAGATGGCTGATATTCAGTTTTATTCAATGTTCTAATAAATAATAATTCCATCTAACCCTTTAATTAAAAAAATACTTTAAATTAACCCTGGCTCACCCCCATAAAGTCATTTTTTGTGCAAACGAATACGTTTTAAGGACACAATATTTATATTTTCATCTATCATTTGATATTTTTTAGTAGAGGATTGAGTGAATCTCTAAATCATGCAGATAGTGTTTTTATTATCTAAAATAACCCCTATTATTGCATCACTAGATTTTGGGAGCATTGACTACACTAGCAAACTCCACTTAAGACTGAATTAGTTCATAGAAGACATCGTTACAGAGATTTTCTCTTTAAACGTCTCTTTTTGCCATCAGTGTTTGAAGGGTGCTCTCTCTCTCTCAATCCCTCTCTCTCTTTTACATGCACACACATACACACAGAGCTCTCTTATCAGCTGGAAGGCAGTTAGTCAGCTGCTGTAGAATGAAGAATGAACTGCTAAATGGCTGCAGAGGTCGTTCTGCTTCATCAGCTCTCACACAAAGAAACAGACGCCTCACATTTGTGGATGGTCTGTAGTTTTGTAACTGTCTGTGCATTTTGAATCAAAAACGGGATTTTGGTTCTTCGTTGTTTAAGGGTGCGATAATTTAAAGCATCTGGATTGCGCAGTAGTTCTGCTGTATTTCCCCATTAGCCATACATCAACAATACTCTAGGGGTTGTTTCTTATAGACACATACATAGATGGGATAAAACTGTTATATCCATAGATTAGCATCATTTTTTAATTAGTTTTGCTTAAAATGATATTTGTATTTAGAATCTTTTTTTTTTACATTATGCATAGATTACCAACAATGTACTATAACAAATGTTAGAGTCAAGGTGTCGTAAAAGAACTAACAAGAGCAAGTTAGAGAAAATAGAATGAGAAATAGTGCAAGTTAGAGAAATCCTGTGACGCATTCTCAGAAGCGCTCTCTCCAGGACGCTCGGTACTGTCTACACTTGTGCTTGAAACCGTGTTGGTGTTCGTAACTCGTGAAATATCTCAAGAAAGTTAAGTGTCATACGTGTTGCCGTAATGTTTTCTGCCATTCCTTCTGTTCAACCTCCTCCGACAAATCACTTCACTCGCAAGGAAAGGTTTCACATTTGTGAACATATAACGTATTTTGCTTGTGTTTTATTCTGTTTTATTATCATTTATTACATTAACAATGTGTAAATTCATGGATTGGAAAAAGGTTACTTGAATTTTCTCTGGTTTTCCTCTGTACTTGTACGCTTATGTTTCAAAAAATGCTGCAAACAAAGAAGGCTTTCAAAAATGTGAATAATAAATTTGAATTTTGTTTTGAAATCTAAATCAAATCAATATTTGCTGTTACTATCGTTTGCCTTAAAAACCAGTGAGGGATTTTGTAGGTTTATAGTCAGGTGTATAATCAACCAATAAAAGTACACAGATCATATGATCATCATAGTCACGCGTAAGTTAAGCGCTAGTTTTATACTGAAAATTGCAGCAGGGGGTGCTGGTATGTGGCAGCAGGTGCTCTGGACTGATTAGTCAAATTTTGACCGTAGACTAATGCTGCTTGTTCATTGAATTGTAAGAGATTGGTACAATAATGGCGGGTGTTTCTTGAACTTTTGGGGCTACATTTCTGCAAATGGAGTCAGAGAGTCAGGATTAATGGTATTCCCAATGTTTAGAAACACAGACTTATTTATCATGCAATTCCATTGGACTGTTCTGCTACAGGACAATGGTCCCAAAAATTCAACCAAAGTCATTAAGTACTATTGTCAGTGTAAGGAACATGAAGTCCTAGAAGTGATGGCATGGCCCCCACACAGCCCTGATCTCAACATCATCCACTGCGTCTGGGATTACACAAATAGACTGAAGGTTGTAAGAAAGCTACATCCACAGAAGATCCTTGGTTAGTTCTCCAAGGTTTTTGGAACATCCTACCAGCCGAGTTCCTTCAAAACATTGTGCAAGTGTAGCTAGAAGAATTACTGCTCTTTTAAAGACAAAGGGATCGTCCTGTGACGTGGCGTAGTGGGTAAAATGCAGGAGCGTTATGTAAGCATAGTTTTGCAGAGCTGACCCAAACTGGAATCCCAAGCCTGTGATCTTTCTCATCCGATTCTCTCTCCTCCTGTCCTTTCAGTAAAAATAATTAAAAATCAGGCTATGGCCAAGAAATATTAAAATTAAAAGACAAAGGGATGTCACAAAAAATATTTCTATTTAGATTTAGATTGACACTTCCATTTCTGCAAGCATTCTTTGTTTACAGCATTTTTACACCTGGATAAAACCTTTTCACAGTTTTGAGTATGATCCAGTATTATTCACCTCAACTCACAACCCATTTAAAATATCTATGAGTTAAATGTTTATAATGCTTATTTTTGAAATAGATTTTTATGTTAGAGATGTGCTACACAGTGTAATTATTTAAGATAATGAATTCTAAAATCTACATAAAGTCTTTTTAAAAATAAAAATGTCTCAATATCCCACTTAGATTTTACACACCACAAAAGATTCGACCAGTGTGTTTTAGGATGATGATGTGGGTGAACATCACCAGTGCTGTGTTTGAGGCTGCATTCTGCAGATTAGTTTGCTTTCATTCCTCCGGTAAATCTGAAGCTCCGCTTCTTACCACACACACACACGCACGCACATGCACGCACCGACACACACACACACACACACTCTTTCCATCCATGTTGCCAAGGGTTACAGTGAAGAAACACGCACTCACACGCACAAAGACTCACACACACAGAGAGAGAGGGACGTCATTCAAGGAGAAGCGGGAGGGGATGCAAACACACAATGCGATGTTCTACCAGTCACCATGGCACACGACCGTAAGAACGTGCATGGTCTATAGTTGCCTTAAGTGTACTCTCTGATTGTGTGATAAAAGTATCAGATCACTAGTGAGATTTATGACGACACTTTGTTAAGTCCTGGTATATCAGTGTATTGCGACATGAACTAAATGTAACCAAGCAGAGATGACAGATGTCTCCGGAAGCTGTGTTTTACTGGCTTCTCTGTGTGCTTTGTGTTTCACTGGATGATGTTTGTCTGTCCTGTGCCCTTGAAATAATGAGCTCTGATTCAGAAGTAGAAGTCACAAGCAAATTGATTGCCAAGCACACACACACACAGAGGCTCATGATATCAAATTTAACTGTACTGCAACTAATATTGGGAGATATCCTGATATATGGTCACATTGATAATTTTTAATCAGAAGAAAAATTGATTAAATATTAATGAAGCTTTCAGTGATCTACAGTGTTCCCACAGAGGCACCATTTAAGATATTGATGTATCTGAAGAGACTGATCAGATTAATTGGGACTTCACACGATAATCTGTCTCAAGGAGTATTTTTCCTCCTTCACGTATCGACTCTTTAATATTTATTCTAAATCACAAGAGATTTGAAGATTATAGCATCAATGAAATTTGTTTTCTCAACAAATGGTTTAAAAAAAACCAATGCAATAAATCCATGGCCGGTTCTCTACCAAAAACGCTTTATGTTTATTCCATCAATAAAAATGTAATTTTGTGAAAATTAAATATACAATAATAAATAGCATGTAGAAGTACCACACTTGCACATATTCAACTATATTAAATCATGGTTTTCATAAAAGTGTGCTTCATCTGGCAGAACTCTTTGCTGCAAAGATAATCATGTGATTGTTAAAATTGCAGTGGATTGGTCCCGTGCAGTTCTTATATAGATATCATATTAGGGGTCCCACAGGGCTCTGTGCTGTGTCCTATTCTACTGCTGTACATAGGACATCCAACTATATCTCTCATCCTCACCTCCACTTTTTTTCCACTAGTCACTGAATTAATTTGATGGAAGTTCTTCAGTCATTAGATAGTTTCCATGTGCAAAACTGGAATATCACTTAAAATGTTTGCGAATGAAGCACTGTTTCCATCCAAAGGGTCCAAGAAAACAAAATATGTAGCAACTAATTGCTAGAAAATTATAAGAGCTGTGTTATAATCTTAAAATACGTAGATGAAATGGAATTCATTCTGAAATGCGCATTTATCCTGCTTTTGGAGGTGGGAGACTGCTGAATTCTGAATGCAGCCAGTCAAGACAGTTCTGGGACATACTTTGGCCTTTAAAGAAATTTAAAAAGGCCAAACAGCATTTTAGACGTTGTGCAATGAAGTCGGTCTGTTGGTTAGTTCCAACAGAAAAACCCATTGCCAATTTTTTTAAGCACATTTTCAAAATGTATGTGCAACTTGCCGTTTCTATCCAGGTTTTTTTTTTTTTTTGATATTCCAAAATGCACATAAAAAGAGGTGGATGGAAACTGGTACTGAAGGTCTAATGTGAGCTCATATCTTGGTTCACTGTAATTGTTTTGCATTCAATTGGGAAAAATCAGAGTTACCCCTTATCAAACCATGTCTTAGGTTAACTCTTTAGATGGATCATTTGTTCTGAAGAGCCATGTCAGGCAACTTAGTCATATAACTTTGGTTCAAACACTCTCTACGAAGGTCAACTGATCAGCTTTCAATGACATCGATGCCTAATTTTTGTAACTTTCTTTGTACTCTTGCAGCCAATGAGTTTTCAAGCTGCAGTTTATTCAAAAGTACTCGCTTTGATCATATCCCCCAAGTACCCTGTGATCTTCACTGGCTCCAGTAAAAGCTGTAATATTATGATGTTTTTATTACCCAATGTAAGTGACTGGAACTCCAGTTTACAAATCTTTTGAAGTTGGTTCCATAAAAGAG